TATGTAATTTGGTAGTGTGAAATATGTGTATGTGGTCTTTTCTTTGCTTATATTTATAGATACACCATGAGATGTTGGTGTAAGCATAGGTGCTCATGTATACTTACATATGTATAAGTGTATATTGTGATGACGAAGCGAAACTCAAAAAGCTTAAGGAATTGAAATGAAAACGACATTAAGGTTTTATTTTTCCAATTTGAGGAAACAATCATGACGCATACCTGATTCTTTTGCAACACTTTCTCGTTGGCTTATTGTTTTTCGAGCTGATTATAACTATGCCTACCCTATATAGTATACGTGAGTGTGTATATATATAAATCACATGTATGTGCATAGTATATGTAAGAGCATCATCAATGGGGAGTTTTTAAGCCCGGTTCTTAAATATAAAATTATTAAAACACACACTCTCTCTTTCTTTTACTCAATTTTTTACTTTCTTTTTCATTCTTTTACTCAACTTTTATTAATTTTATATTTAAACACTCTCTCATCATTTTAAAAACACTCTCCAAAAGTTCTTATTTAAGCAACTCTCTCTTCTTTTTACTCAATTTTTATTAATTTTATATTTAAACACACCCACTATCTTCTCTCTTTACTCAAATTTTATATTTCAATACACCCCACAAAAATACTCTTTTTTTTCTTTTTACTCAAATTTTAATAATTTTATATTTTAAGACTTTTTTAAGCACCCCCATTTATGATGCTCTAAGTTATTTGTAATAATCTTATTCACGGCCATATTTAATTTACAAAAATAAGACTATTCAGATTTTAAAGTGATACACGTGAGTGTAAGCGAGCGAGCGGATAGAAAATCAAATCACGCAACATTCATTTTCTTCTCCTTTTCGATCTTTTTGAACGACTTCTAAATTTGTGTTTTATATTAAATCACATATATAGCATATGATAAAAAAGGTAAAAATTTTGTTCAATTTCATGGATTTCATATGAGTATCTTTCTCTTTTTTTTAGTCATCTCTTTTGTGATTTCATAGAACTATAAAAAAAAACTAAAAATTTGCATATTTGATCCATCTAATTCTTTTTTGGTTACAATAAAATCCCTAGATTTCAAATTTTTTTTTTGTTGATAAACCGTGAGAGTTCCGAAACTTTGGCTCATAATCTCTTGGGTACCAGGAGACAGTCTTTTGATATTCCGATTTAAAGAAAAAATATATGTCCCAAAGGAGATTTAAATCCGGAGCACAGGAGAACCAACCCTCTTATGTTACCACTAAACCACCACTTTTTTGGTTAGTTTTCAAATTTTGACGACCAGTCTTTAAGTATTTGATTATGATCATATAATTCCATGATTTTATACGATATAAAGGTTTTATTTTCCTGAAAATGGATGAGCAATGATGATAAAGAGTTGGAGAATTAGCCCTTATCAAAATAAGTAATAAACTACTTAGTATAGTTTCAAATGATAAATAAAAATTTGAAGCAAAAGGGAAATGCCTTTACAGGTGTTGTGGAAGGTACACAAAGCAATGATTTTTGTGTTTTTTTGGTAAAACTTTAATATAAAAATAAAGTAAGCATGCGACTATGTCGATTTCGAATTTTTGATTACGATGTAAGCATTTTTCTAACCATCTTTTTTCTTCTTTATGAAATCTATGGATGATAAAAATCGTAATATATAAAATTACCTTTTTAGTGATGACTAGGTATATCCAAACAAGACAGTTTTCCTGAGAATATACGTTGAAAGGGAGATTGTTTTGGAAATACAAGATTGCTGTAAGAAAAATATCTTAAGATAATCATTTACTCACCTAATCCTTTATTTAAAACCATATATAGTTATCAAAATAATTTTAAATATCAATTAATAGTGGTCAAGTAGAGTTTCCCATGTAAATTCGTAAATGAAGCAGACAGAAAATGAATATACTGGCAGAAAGTCGTAAACAGACAAAAAAACGAATACGTGTAATTTAACAAGCAAACATATACTTTTTTATTATTATCTTTAAACTGTGGTATATATTATGTTGTTTTAAAGACACTTTAGTGATTGAGTCACTAATTTTATATACGATAAATGATTGCAAAAATCGAGGAATCTAATTAAAGAGTATTATTGTTAAGATCTTACGACCTCATCCTGACTTAATATGAAGTTTAGTGAGTTTTTCTAGGGCTGAAAATATCGAACTAGGTTTAGGTTATATGAGTACTAGAAAGGGCTCCTTTATTCAAAGAGAATGAAAACGTATGTATATAATTTACTTTACTCAGTTTGGATTTCGGAGTTAGTAGGTCTAATCTCGGGTCAAGATTCGGTTCGTAAGTCTCATTGGACGTGTCCGCTCGAACCTTTCCATGCATGGGTTTATTCGATAATTGCATTTAATGCCGAGTGTGTTTTATTTCTTTACCTATGTCAATGTAGCTATCACGTGTCGTTGTTTCATTTGTTCTCATCCAAAATATTTTGTTTGTTATGCCCAACCGGTAGATAATTTTATCACCAATAAAAAAAAGATGTTGATGATGTCGTTATTACAATGTTTGATTATTTATCCAAGTGATAATTTTTTTAGCCCTACATTAATTGTCTTCTAGCAAACAAATATATTCTAGGCGTAATGATGTTCTTGAAATGGGAATTAGAAGGTGATTTTTTTCATGGATAAAGCTTTCTTCTCTAGGGTGACTGCTGGACGAAGTGACACACACATTTAATGGTCTATTTAACGTCTCCAACCACTTTAAAAAATGGTTAATTTTATAAAAATAAAATATTCGCGAAAGTATATGACCATAACTATATATGATTGTGCCTTTAAAAAAAAAAATTATATATGATTGTGAAAAACGTTTTATGGTAAAACAAATCTGATTTACTTTAAAATTTACGATGAATTTGTAATCAAGGACTAGAAATTCAACTATTTTGATAGTTTTACTAACTTACTACTCTATCGAAAATAAATAACTGAATTCACTATGCTGTTATTTGATAACGAATGAAAATGTAAACTAAGGTTTGACAAGGATGTTCAAAAAAATAAAAGGTTTGACAAATCACACCTCTTTATATTAGATATGATATAGTTTTTTTTTTTTTTGAAATATTTACTGAAATGTCATAGGCTTTCAGTTTATATTACAGATATATCATAGATTTGAAAATGTATGCAAAAATATCACTTTCTGCTTATGAAAAAACATTTATGCCCATCGGATTCACTTGCATTTTATATCAAAAAATTAAAAGAGAAATATTAAAAGAAACTAAAGTGATTTATTGTCAGATGC